GCATATCTCAACTATGTCATTAGGGATGCAATCTGTTGAAGGTCAAACTACCATCCTATATTTGTGTAAATATTTTGTTCACTAACTGTTTATCAGCAGTAGTACTACTTCTCAGACAAACTAAAAGACCAATGCAATCTATCAGTTCACTGCCTCTTATTGCTACTAAGTTCTAAAGTAATATTTTATGTTCAGGAGGTAAGCAGTACTCAACGCATATTCCTATATTGTTAGTTAACGCGTCCAGAAGATTGTGGGGCAGTCAGTGAATAGACACCTAACAGGCGAGAACACACCACTGATCCTAAAAGCAACAACTGCGCTAAGAAGCAAATTTGGGTCATTTGTTCAACCATAAACCTAACATTTCCCCAATGTGAATTATCCCTGTCCAACCGTGATACCTTCCTGACCTAAACCTAGCCTTAACTCAACCACGTATCCCATTTAATATCCCCACACTACTTTCAGCAGGCTTTTTATGAATGTAGTATTATTTACATGGTTCCATTGTTTTGATTTGAATGAATATCCAAAGGTTATTGATGGGTTTGAACCTGTTAGGGTCCTTCATTGACTTAACCAGGTATGTATCTTAACAGTTTCTGAACCGAACAGAAGTAAGCTCGACTTTTCAGGAGCCTTGTAAAAGTTGTAATTAGTAATTCCTTTTTCGTGAAGCCATTTGTTAACGCTTTTATCATCACTGAAAAAATGTTACTTCAAATGCCTCTAAAGTTCCATATATACTAAAAAGATTTCCCAATGTTTTCACTGTTTTCAGTTAATACAGTTTCTAGATTCATCAAAAATAACGAGCAATCAATCTGTTCTTGTAATAGTCATGCAACGCTCACAGGGTCACAACATCAAGTCGCTTAGATTAACCATTAAGCTGAAACTGCTGTCAATTGTCTTTGATGTTTACCTACATCTGCTGCTTTCATTACATTATTACATATTAGTTTTACTCCACCGAAGGTGGCTGGGATTGGAATCCAGAAGGTACGTCCCTTCGTATTTGGGAGCTGCCAGCCGCACGTACTTGGTTGAGGGTGTTCCCGCTGAATTTATAGCCCAGTACCCACTGTTTAAAATGCCAGGGAGTTATAAGATAAATGAACCACGACAATCCCCTCTCTTTTACAACAAGTAGCAGTTGTTATTTACTCAAATATATTTTAATTACTCCTTTAATGCATGCCACCAGAGAATGAGTATTTTGTTTCAGTAGGAATCATCCGTGAGAAATTTGAAACAATTTCAATAAATACTTATCAGTTCGCCTTTTCGATTACAGCATTTTTGAAAGAATACCTACAGACTAACATATAGTTTACGTCGGTGGCACGGCGGTTAGGACGCTCGCCGACCATGCACGTGGTCCGGGGTTCAATCCCCGGCCGACGCACACCTTCACCTCGCTAAGCCAGAAATAATGCTGGTAAAGAGGAAAGGTTGGGCGTGAGGCTAGCAATTCCATCCTGTAAAAATTAAACACTGCTACAGAAACTTGAAGCCACTAGTTTGAAGCCCTATTTTCCATTGGGAACGTGAAGGAAAAAACAACATAATTTGGATGTAGATGGAATTATAATGAGTTTATACTAGCTGGAATAATTCTGTAGTAACGTCATACAATTAATAGAAGAGAGGAGAATGGTGAAAGAGAAAATGATTCACTGCAAGGACGGACAGGAGAAGGAGACGATGAGTTCAACTTACGAAGCATTGGACAAAGAAGTGAAGAAAAGTGCTAGGAAGGACAAAAGACGATTCTACGACAACCTGGCCACTGAAGCTGAAAAGGCATCAGGCAAAAGGGACCTGAGGACATTATATCAGATAACCAAATCTCTATCCGGGAAGAGACCAACACAAGCGAAACCTATAAAAGATAGCCAACGGAACCCAATTACCAAGGAAAAAAAACAGATTAAACAATGGGCGGATCACTTCAAAGGACTCTTGAACCGACCATCACCTGCAACCCGTCCAGAAATACCAACAACAGCGCGCTCACAACTGCAAGTTGACACCAATCCTCCAACGAGAGCTGAAGTCTTGAACGCAATCAAGCTTCTGAAAGCTGGAAAAGCAGCCGGACCAGATGGAATACCCCCCGAAGCACTGAAAGCGGACCCAGAGACTACAGCAGACATGCTGACTCCATTATTGCAAAAGGTCTGGAAGGAGGGAAAGGTGCCTACGGAGTGGAGGAAAGGTTACCTCGTGAAACTACCAAAGAACGGCGACTTACGCCTCACTCTGCAAGAACTGGCGAGGAATCATGCTCCTATCGACGCCAAGTAAAATCCTGAGTCGCATCATCCTGGAGAGATTAAAGAATGCACTGGAGACAGAACTCCGACCAGAACAAGCTGGATTCAGGAAAGGCAAATCATGTACTGACCAAATTGCAACTCTACGCATCATCATCGAACAAAGCATGGAATGGCGATCAAACCTCTACGTCAACTTTATAGACTTTGAGAAGGCCTTCGACAGCGTTGACCGTGAAGTAAATTGGAAATTACTGGAGTACTACGGCATACCCCAAATATTCATCAACCTTATTCAACAGCTGTACGACAACGCCACATGTGAAGTGATCCACAACGGAAAACTCAGTGAGGCGTTTGGAGTAAACACAGGAGTCAGACAAGGCTGTCTGCCTATTATCACCAATGATATTCCTAATTGTGGTGGAATGGATTATGCGTCAGACTGTGGGAAACGAGAAGACAGGAATATCCTGGACCGACGTGAAGAACCTAGAAGACCTGGATTTCGCGCGTGGATGATTTATGTTTGATGTCACACAAAACCGAAGACTTGCAAGCGAAAACCGACAAACTGGTCGAAGAAGCATCTGGCGAAGACAGTACTCCAAGTGAACATAGACAAGACGGAGGTGATGAAAATAACCAACCAACCAACCAACAACAACAGCAACATCCAGCGCCAATCACCATCAACGGGAGGTATTTGAAAGAGGTTACTTCATTCATTCACTTATCTGCGGAGCATTGTCTCAACTACAGGCAGTCGGAACGAACGAGGATGTCAAACCGAGCGAGAATCGGGAAGGCGAGAAACACATTCATCAACCTGAAATCAATCTGGAAATCTTCGTCACTCAGCATCAACAACAAAATTCGGATTTTCAATACAAACGTCAAGTCAGTTCTTCTATACGGATCAGAAACTTGGCGGGTCACAAAGAATATTTCCGACAGGCTAACTCAGACCTTTATTAACAACTGTCTTCGCTCAATACTGAAGATCAGATGGCCGGAAAGAATCACCAACAAGGAATTATGGGAACAAACAAAGCAATAACCAATCGCCCAACAAATATGCAGGAGAAAGTGGAGATGGACCGGACACTCGCTGAGGAGACCACTGGGTGACATCAAACGGCCAAGCCCTCGAGTGGAACCCGAAAGGGAAGCGGCGTGTGAGACGTCCAAGGGTGACATGGAGGAGATCGTGTGAAAAGGAGTTGAAAGAAGATGGATTAACATGGATGCAGGCGAAAAGTATAGCAGAAGACAGAAGAAAATGGAGCCCTATGTTCCACTAGGAACCCAAGGGAGCAATAATAATAATAATCATACAATAGTTAATGGAATGCCTTGATTTTCAACATCAGCAAGTATATTTTGAATAAGTGAACCAAAATAATCAATAGTCAGGAAATGTCTTCTTCTGATGTTATGTAGTTGAAAATCTGTCAACTACACTAATGTAACAACTGGAAAAAACTCTATGGGTTACTGATAGATGTTGTTACCAATAAACCACTCTTACTGTGTGAGTTCTAATGATAAAACCTTGGAGTTTAAACACATGACACAGTGGTTGGAAGTTTATTATGTAAACCAGTGAGCCACAGCTTTACAATAAATTAGTGAATCCAGAAGACATTGAATGTGCTTGCAGAAAGAAAAGAACAATCTAGACTTAGATGACTCAGTGATAACACTTTTGTTTTGGAACACCGAATTTCTGAGTCAAAAATAAGTGAAATGCATTTGAGGCTATAGACATATCTACATAAAGAAAATCCAGACATGTGAAATCAAGTAAAAAATAAAATCATCTATCCGAATCATATATATGCAAAATAAAATTCCACTAGTACCGGTTATCAGAGCTATCTTTAACTCATATTATTATTTTATATAGTATTTGTAAAATTAATATTCTTATACATCAGGGGATAAGATCATTCATAGCCTCTGCCAGGTAACTCCTGTTCACTGCCTTCACATAGTGAGGGTGTTCCTCACAAAAAAGGAAGGGTGAATGTGAAAGTCTGGCACCTACAACTGAACTGGTAGACATGCAGCTGTACCTAGGAAAGCTGGTTAACCCCGATTCCAAACACACGGTGTACAGTCAAAGCGTCCAGTAGTATCCGAGCCCTCACACATCTCTTGGTGCCCATAATGTGCCAAGTTTTTAGTCTAATAAATAATGCATCAGTGGACACTGATCATCAAATTTAAATGAGATATGCATCGCTGTTTCAATCGTCTAATGATCACCAACCACATGCCAGTTCCAGATTTGACTGCGGATATACTCACTCATAAACCTTGTCCGGCGTGCTAGCCCTTAATAAGCACGAGAAGGCAAGAAGCTTAGGCTAACAACCCACATTCATAGAAACAAAACCATTGCTACTGCAACTTCGAAGCTTGAAACTCTATGTTTCACTCAGAAGGAATGGAAACAAAAATTCGATGAATTTAAATACAATAGATACTTAACCCTGTCAGATTATCAGAATAAATTACTAAACTGATAGTTTATTAAGTCAAGCTGCAAAAGTTAATCAATAATATCAGGCGCTCCATTCACACATACTCCTGAAAGTACGTGGTGAGTCTTATAAGAGAGGAAACCTAGGTCATCAATTTCGCTGCTACATAATTATATATATATGTGCATAAAAAATGTAAAATTATAAGCAGTATAACTTCTTAACTTACTATCAGCATTTTTTCTACACCAACGCCTCTGAACTAGATGTTTAAAGCACAACCATTTACGAGTATAACATAAGGCTGTCAGTACAAAGGCGAATAATATTCCAGTTATCATGAGATAACACCATGCCCATAATGGTAGATAAATCCTTTCTGTTTCTTGACTGCCTGACAGTGGAGTGTTCATTTTAATATCACATTCTTTTGTAAAATAATGGATATTTATACATGTATATATATACAAATTTTAATTTCTCAAAGTAAATTACCCTTAGTACACGTAATCAATAATATGAAATACTTATGTGTACATACGAAGAGAGACAGAGAGTGTGTGAGTGCAAAAAAAGAACAGACAGTACATATTTATGGTACATTTTTCAATTAGGCATACCTGATTTGTATTTTCTTAATCAAAGTTAAGGCTTTAACTAGTTTAATTTGTTTAAATCCAATTTTATTCTGATATTCTAAAATATATTTATTTCTTCATTGGATAAAATTTTAGTCAATCCTAAGATTTATTAGGATTTTATTGATCACAGGAAAGATTTCGTTGTTAACTGATACCAACCAAAAAAGTAGTGAATAGTTGCTGTTTAATCTTATTTCCAGACTTCTAAGTTGTAAGCGCGAACACCACAGTGACCAAGTTTTATACTTTGGTCACTAAGCACGAACACTTGAACATCGACTGAATACACAGGGTTAATTAACTTTGCAATGAAATACCACGACTTATGAAAGCAATCAAGCTAAATCTCAGAAAAACTATTCATCTAAGACATGTGATGTTGGTAGAGATATACAACGAACCATCAGAGTTGAGAACCATATGTCATTGCATTCTGACAGACTCAGTGGTGGAACTGATGGCCTTAGACTGAATCGTGCATGGCGCCGTGGGTTCATTATAAGAGAATTCGAAACAAGCACCTCTTGTTAGTTATCGTCGGTTATGTGGTGTAAATCTATGATATAATTCACGTTCCTCAATTAATCAAAAGGATAATAAAGTAGAATTGCGTTAAATAATGATTAAGTCTTTATCGCTAATAATTTCATCATAATATATGTATATCGAAATTCAGATTAGTAGACTACATAAATGGAAGACTCAACTAAAGTACTTCCGCATTAGTAGAGTGTAGGAAATGGTTGACGAATGTGATTAATATATTTGCATCCAAAGACCTGCGTCATATCTACACCTCCTTATTTGGACTTTATCGAGGTACGAAAAGAAAGGATGAAAATATTATTGAGTAAAATGAACCTTGGTTCTAAAATTGGATTACCAAGACAGGTTCAGAGTATGGAAAAACAATTTTTGAACACGTCAAACAGGTTAAGCTGTTTTATGGCTAAGGCTTGAATGAACTTAAGTGTGTGACCCAAACTTGTTTTTATATATGGGTTTAGAGGTATTACTGAAAACAAGTTTGTGACCGTATCCATGATGTGTTTCCCGACAGATGATGCTGAACATCTGTTTCCAGGATTAATTGAGTCAGGTGATTTTATTTGTTCTTGCACCCTTCTTTTCATCCTTACTTGCTGGAGCACTTGCACTTGTGGGAGAAAGTACATTGAAAGGACAGAAAGAAGGGCTTCTATCCGGTTTTCTGAACATATTCCAAAGAACCTATGCCTGAAAGGAAGCAAATACTCCCAGAGTGCAATTACCAGTCATATTGTTGATACCGGACATCTCGTAGAGATTTCTAATTCCTTCAAATTAATAATAAATAGGCAAAGGACAGCAGATTTACTACTATTTACCGAGGCGATCGCAATCAAGCGATTTACAGAAAGAGAATGTGATTAACCTCTCACACTCCCTTGGTAACTGAATTTTGATTTTGATTACATTAATTAGTCATCTAATCCAGTGATCTCAACTCACTGAACAAATCTTAATCTCATTAACTGTAACCGCTTTAGTTTATTGAGTTGCTATGTGAACCTACAAGCTAACAATGTTCTGTTAATTAATTTTTTCTGTTTTCTGTCTTACCCCTCCCCCTCTTTTCAACTTTAAAAGCGTATAAATTGATGATGAAAACTTAAACTAAAAATTGTAATCCTTTCATTTTGGATGCGTCAATTTTATAGTATCTCTTCTCTACTACCACTCAAACATTAAAGTATTTTATTATCATCTATATGACTATTGTAATTTCAAGTAGTCTGCAGCTGACAAGAACCTGTGAAATAGAATGATATCATTTTATACTGCAAATTTTGTCTTCCTTTCTTTATCAAAAATTATCAAGCTAACCAAATGTATGGGGATTCTGTATATCTTCTTCAATGGTATCCTCTGTACCTATATGTTGAACGCGTCAGAACAAACACTCAACTAAGGACTTTTTATATAGGAGTGAATCGAAACTGTTCAGATTTAGATACCGTCCCGTCCAGGTAAATTTCCTGTAGACAGATCGTTTTATTAACCCATCCTGTTGGCGAGCTATAAGTTAGTTTATCTAAAAGTATCAGGCAATCGTCATTTTCTATCACGGATGTTAACGTTATCTTGTAGTGTATTTATCTGTTGCTATGGCATTCGTCGGCTACTCACAGATGACTGTGATGTCACCCATATACCTTTTATAAAAATAAACTTCCTCAGTTAAGCCCCCAGCTAAATTCTCTGCGTGTTACATATATATATATATATATATATATATATATATATATATATATCTGAACCAACAATGAAACTAAGGTACTTACCATAGCAACACCACCTATCTGGTAGGAATACGCATCCTCAAATGTAAATTTAATACTGTAAATATATAAAAGCAGTAGCTCTTTAAAAATTTAAAAGATTTCAGAAATATTTAAGAAAACTCACCCATACCCTGTTTGTTTCACACTATGCAAAAAGTTCACCTTGATAATGGTTTAAACATATATAATTAATTTCACTAAGTTCACTTTTAACAGTTTGTAAAAATTTGGGCATTGGATATATGATATTCATTATAATAAAGGTTTTTGTATTTCCCAATGAATGAAAAACAAAACGATATTGTTCTTACTGACGTTTCGCTATTTAATGCTAATAGCTTTTTCAAAGTATTATTAAACCGGAATTTACACAATCTCAGCATATATATAACAAAGAGTTAAAAGGTGAGAAAATAGACTTAGGTCAAGTTAAAGGGACATATTGAATGTCAAAATAACAATGAAGATCACTAAACCAAATAACAAAGGTAATAGTACATCTGTTATAATATCAAAATAAAGTTTACTAATTTGATCATCGTTCGTTAGTCTGGGGTCCTTTTTCGTTGTCAGGTTGGTCAATTGGTAAAGATAACAAAACCTGGTGTGGATTGTTGGATTTCATTAGTGTGTGACATTTTAAAAGTAGTGTGAGTTTGCATAGTGAACTTGCTTATCACATTCGTGTTGATTTTGTCACTTCGTCGGGGAGAGGAGGGAGGTGTTGTAACCAGGTCAGATTCTGTTTTAGTCCATCATTTCTATTCAGGCAATTTGGATTTCACTTGATATGAATTGCTTCTGATATTAGACGTTCTTTGTGATTTCTGAAGTTTCTCTGGATTATTTCAATATTGTCGAAATCAATTTTGTGGCCTGATTCTATAAAGTGTAGACCTATGGCTGGCTGATGATTTTTCAAGTTTTTCTAGTTCAACCGGATTTCTCGGTGGTCGAACAGATGCTCTACGGTGTTCATTTCTTCTGATTTTGATTTCTCGAGATGTTTATCCGATGTATTTTATTTTATAGACACAATTAGATAGAGAATCTTTAGGGATTTGAACCTTTATATGGACAAGGTTGCTTTGAAGTATGTCTGATGTTTTGAAGAAAATTCTAATACCGTGCTTATTGAGTAGTCTTCTGATATCGCCTGACGTCTCTACTGTATATGGAATGACGACTGTTGATGTGTATGTTTTCGGAATGCGTTTTTGGCCATACTTAATGTTTGTGTTGATTTTGTTGATGAAGTTCCTTGGGTAGTTGTTTTGCTTGAGAGTTTCACTAATCTTTGATATTTCTTCTTCTTTTTCTTTCTCATCCGTTATCAGAGAGTGTGCTCGTCTAAGAAGACTTGAAACATCTGAAATCTTTGCTTTGATGGGGTGTGATGATTTGAAGTCTAAATATTTATTGGAGTGGGTTTTCTTCCTGAATATGGATATATTAAAATGTCCGTTTTCTCTTCTCTCAACTAGGCAGTCTAGAAATGGTACTTCACCGACGTCTGATTCTGCTTCCGAAGTGAACTGGATTCTGGGAGATACACAGTTTATTTTCTCCAGGAATGAATTATGTAGATCTCGTTTTAGTACTACAGAAGTATCATCCACATATCTTAAACATATTTTAGGAGTGATTATGCTTGAAAAGATTTTATCTTTGAATCTATTCATGAAAAGGTCAGCGACTATTGGGGAGACCGGTGAACCCATAGCAAAGCTAGTACCATTAAATGGCGAAACGTCAGTAAAAACAATATTGCTTTGTTTTTCATTCATTGGGAAATACAAAGACCTTTATTATTGTGAAATTATTTTAAACATTATGAAGAATGTCTTGTAGATTAATAAAGAATGGCAAGATGAAACAAAATTCAATCTCATACCAACCTAGGATAATTAAAACACTTGTAATAATATCACTTTCTCGTATGAACACATGCTAACTTACTTTTATGGATCATGGATATATCACATCTAAAATACCATGCATGTTTATTAGCCTCTTCAGTCACTTGAAATGAGCTTATGCGGAAGTAATCACCTGATCTGCTGAGTCTGTCATATTACGAGGGAGGTATACACAGAGGAAACATGATTGCAGATACACGGGTAATGTGGACAACCTTTGAATCATTAGAATGACCATCTCACTCTCCTTTCTACTAGACTTACAGTGAATATTATCACTCACCCTAATTGTAAATTTTCTATTGATATACTGAGTTATTCAGTCAATCATACCAATACATGCACTGAAGTTACACTCACTTGGCTGATAAGCCTTGCATAGGACGAAACACGTCTGTCAGTTAGTACTACCAACCACTGATAAATATATAATCTCTCAGGAGAAATTTGTAAATGTTTCTATAACCTGTTTTGTTATATTGATCTATGGTCATTCGTGTTTGACATATGACAGCTATAAGAATGCACA